TTCCCATTTTTCCCAAAAAAAATCCTGGATTTGTTGATGAAAACTCAATCCCGAATTTCTCAATCCTATTTTTCCCAAAAAAATCCTGGATTTGTTGATGAAAACTCAATCCCGAATTCCATATTCCCATTTTCCCAAAAAAAAAAATCCTGGATGTGTCGATAAAAACTCAATCCCGAATTCCATATTCCCATTTTTCCCAAAAAAATCCCGGATGTGTCGATGAAAACTCAATCCCTAATTCCTCATTCCCATTTTCCCAAAAAAAAAAAATCCTGGATGTGTCGATAAAAACTCAATCCCGAATTTCTCAATCCTATTTTTCCCAAAAAAATCCTGGATTTGTCAATGAAAACTCAATCCCGAATTCCTCATTCCCGTTTTCCTAAAAAAAAAAATCCCGGATGTGTCAATACGAATTCAATCCCGACTTTCTCATTCCCATTTTTCCCAAAAAAATCCAGGATTTGTTGATACAAACTCAATCCCAATTTTCTCAATCCCATTTTCTTAAAAAAAAAATCATGGATTTGTCGATAAAAACTCAATCCCAAATTTCTTAATCCCATTTTTCCCCCCCAAAAAAATTCCTGGATTTGTGAATATAAATCCAATCCCAACTATCTCATTCCCATTTTTCCCCAAAAAAATTCCTGGATTTGTCGATACAAACTCAATCCCGACTTTCTCATTCTCATTTTTCCCAAAAAAAAAATCCTGGGTTTAATATAAATCCAATCCCGACTTCCTCATTCCCATTTTTCCAAAAAAAAATCCCGGATGTATCGATAAAAACTCAATCCCGACTTTCTCAATCCCGTTTTTCCCAAAAAAATCCCGGATGTGTTAATTCAAACTGAATCCCAACTTCCTCATTCCCATTTTTCCCAAAAAAAAAATCCGGGATATGGGAAAAACGGCACTCGACAAACTCAATCCTGAATCCCTCATTCCGGTTTTCCCAAAAAAAAAAATCCGGGATTTGTGAATATAAATCCAATCCCGACTTCCTCATTCCCATTTTTCCCAAAAAAATCCCGGATTTGTCGATACAAACTCAATCCCGAATTCCTCATTCCCGTTTTTCCCCCAAAAAAATCCCGGATGCGGCAAATACGACGCCCCAAAAACTGAATCCCGATTTTGGGAATTCCCAGCGGTTTTCTGGGAACGTTTTCCACGCGGAATGAGAGAAATTTTGGGAATTCTGGACAATTTTCTGGGAATGTTTTGCACACAGAACGGGAGAATTTTGGGAATTCCCAAAGGTTTTCTGGGAATGTTTTCTGTGTGGATCGGGGGAATTTTGGGAATTCTCGCTGATTTTCCAGGAACATTTTCTGCGTGAGACAAGGGAGAATTTTGGGAATTCCTGACGATTTTCTGGGAATGTTTTCCGCACAGAATGGAGGGAATTTTGGGAATTCCTGATGATTTTCCGGCAACATTTTTCTGCGTGGAAGGGGGAAATTTTGGAAATTTCTGACAATTTTCTGGGAATGTTTTCTGTGTAGAATGGGAGAATTTTGGGAATTCCCGCCGATTTTCAAGGAACGTTTTCCGCACAGAATGGGAGAATCTTGGAAATTCCTGACGATTTTCTGGGAATGTTTTCTGTGAGGAACAGGAGAATTTTGGGAATTCCCACCGGTTTTCTGGGAATGGTTTCTGTGAAGAATGGGCAAATTTTGGGAATTCTCACTGGTTTTCTGGGAATGTTTTCCGTGCGGATCGGGAGAATTTTTGGAAATTCCCACTGATTTTCTGGGAATGTTTTCCATGCGGATCGGGAGAATTTTTGGAAATTCCCACTGGTTTTCTGGGAATGTTTTCCATGCGGATCGGGAGAATTTTT